AGATTTCTCTTCGCATTAGGTGACCAAAATATCTGAGCTTGAGCTTCATTATCGATCCTTCCAATGAGCAATCAGGGTTGAGTGTTGTTTGCATTCACTGTAATTTATGAATCACTGCCTAAATATACTTCCTTTCCTATTCTGGGCCCATAGTATATATAAATTCATTTCATATTCCACTGTATTCTGCAGCAAAAAATTAAGAAATACTCAGCTGCTAGGAAAGATTGGAGATGCATCTAGGGTAGCTTGTAAGTGAGGAGAATATTATCTTCCAATCTTATGAATAGTAAGGTTTCTTTATGAAAAAATAGGTATCTTTGAGCATTTAACATAGTAGAAAAAAATTACAAAATCCCATTGTGCTGATGTGTCTATTTGTGGCAGATGTTTCCATATCTAATTATGTGCTTTTGGTTTTGCTGTTGATTGAACAAAGGATTGCAACTATGTTATGCTAGTGGTTAGCTTTGGCATAGCAGCTGTTGACATAATTGAACAAGTATGCTCAATTAGTTAAAATTAATCAGGATCCTGAAAATACATTAAGCATCATTAAGAATAAAACCTAACTGAAATAATGTTTAAAAAATATCTGCATGTTTTTTTTATAGTGGCCTTCTCATATAGTAGACATTTCTAACATCAACCTATATGTTCCTGATTTTTTTTTTTTTTTTACAATTCTGGAGTTGGTTTTGTTGTTTCTCTCAGGGTGGGTGCTTGATAATTTTCTATTAAAGTTTAAATAATATATTTTTTTAAATATCTTGTAAGCTGCCTAAAATGCAGCTGCAATTTAGACAGCCTATAAATAAAAAATGTTGGAAAAATAAATTTGATGGAATTAAATATGATTTGTTGCTAAGTGTATAGGATTTAGAATTTCTTTAGTTTTTGAATTATGTTGGGTTAGAAAAGCATACAAAATTTCTTTTAATTAAATGCTCTAGATCTAATTCTGCTTTCTGATTTCTTTCTCAGTAACTTTATGTAAAGTGATTAACAGATTAAACAACCACATTTCTTTCTAATTATCAAAATGAAATTAGTTCATTGTTATCAGTGGAACAAAGAATTATTAATTATTTTAAAAGCATGAATTATTCCTGTCAATAGAAGCTTTATATAAGGCTTAATTAATTTTGTCACTTAAAATAAGTGTCAGATCTGATGAGAAAAATAACTTTTTGTTCTAATAAAATTAATAATTTAATCTGGGCAATTAGCAGATTTTTGCACTGACCAAATGCCTAACATGTTCAAATAAAACTATCTCTTATGTTGTTTATCAGCAACCGTTATCTCTTTTTCCTGTTATATCCCCCATTTCTCTCTCTCTCCTCATAGCGAACACACCCAAATAGTGGAGGAAACTATGAGCTGATTATATTTACAAGGATTGCTGTGTTTGATGTAATGTACAAGGAAACAGAATGAGTAAATGCTTTTAAAATTTCATATTATTACTCAGCTTGAACCAGGATATCCTGAAGGAGCCAAGTTTCTTTCTTCATATTTACAAATACCGCTGTTAGTTAAAAAACTATGAATTGTAGATTAATTCTTTACTATCATTTAACAGGAAAATGCTATCATTTAACATAGCAAGCAGTGTGGTGCCCTCCAGGTATTTTGAAGTACTGTAAAAGCTTAATAAATTTGCTTAATAAATACTTTGCTTAATAAAAGTCCCACAACCCCTCATCACTTACCACATGGCTGCTAATGGGAAACATTTGTTTTTTTAATGTACTGCTGTAATCCACAATAATTCCTGACAATTAATATGAACAACATTAAAATAACATAAAAACACTATTCTTGGAGGGCGCCAGTGTGTCACCCCTGCTATATTTTATGATATCCTCTGGATCTCAGTTTGTCTTTTGCTTTTTCCTTATCAATTTATTACTTGTACATTGCCATCTTAATTTGTAGTTCTTTAAAAATGCATATCACAAAGACCAGATATTCTCAACTGTATTTCCTGATCCTTAGTTCTGCTTTTTATGCTTCACACAGTTTATTGGGTTAACCTTCCTGCAATTTGTTTCAACAACAACAACAATAATAATAATAGAACAGACCGGCACTGCTTACTTTATAAGCAGAGGTATTAGTAGCTGTGACCTTCAAAACTTGCGTGCTTAAGAGAAAATCCTTATCAGCACTGTAGTATTTACTTCTTTCAGTTCTATAGACATTTTCCCACATTACATAAACCTATTTATCTATTTAGAAAATTCATGTGGCTGTTTATCTTACATGTGAATTCTGAGCTGCTAACAGTAAAAAATTGAAACAATATAACAAAATCTCTACTCAGACAAAAGACACAAAATTAAAACAAACAGCACAATAGCCCAGCCAGTGTAAAACTCAAGCACACATACACCACAGCTATATGGGCTCATCTAGCATTCTGGCTCAGGGTCTGGGGAAAAAGCCAGGTTTTCATAGTCTTTTGGAAGGCCAGGAGAGTTGGGATCTTCCAGATCTCAGGGGGAAGACTTCCATATGGCAGGTGCCACAACAGAGAAGGCATGACTCCTTGGTCTCATAAGATGACATAGAGAGGACGTGGAATTTTCACCCACCTTGTTGGACCTGAGAAACCCTTACGGATAAGTGGTTTCACAAGAAAACTGGCCCTATGCACCTTCCAGCACTTTCAGTTGCACTCAGAAACATATTGGGAGCCAGTGCAGCTTGTGCAAGAGTGATCTAACCTGGGTAAATCTTGAGGCACCCAAAACTGCATCTGCTGTTGCATTCTGAACCAGTTGGAATTTCAAGTACTTTCAAGGGCATCTCCCTGTTGAGCACATTGCAGTAATCCAATGGGGAAGTGACTAGGGCATGGTGAATTGTGAGTAGGGCCTCCCAGTCCAGGAACACGTGCAACTGGCACACAAAATGAATGTATGCAAAAGCTCCCCTAGCCAAGGCTGCCGCTTTCTCTTCAAACAAGAGGACTACCATGTTCTGCACCAACTCTGGGGGAGTGCTACTCCCTTGAGAATTAAAGATGAAAAATAGCTTGATCCAGGAGGCCTGAAAAGCCAAAGCCACTCCATCTTGAGTTGCAGTCTGTTCTTGCACATCCAGACTCTCACAGCCTCTGGGCCCTGAATAAATTCCTCTGTGGCGTTATTTGCCTAACCAGGGCTGGAGAGGTATACGCGGATATCATCGGCATACCGAAGATACCTCACTCCATGCTGTTGGATGACCTTGCCCATCAGTTTCAGGTCAGTGTTAAACGGTGGAAAGAGGGCTGAGCCCTGAGACACCCCGGACAGAAGAGGCCGCGTGCTGGACATCTCCCTTCTATGGACACTGAGAGAAACTGGCCCTTAATGAAGTAGGAGAACCACTGCAAAAGAGTGCACCCCCCCCCACTCCTAATGCCATGACTTCTGGGATGAGGTTCCCCCCAAGATCCAGATGGCCCCCACCCTTCCCTGGCTCTTCGCCCAAGCCTTTGGTGAGGGGGAGAGAAGACCCTTTGCTTCCTTCTTTACTGTTATATTGTTCTTACCATCTTTTATTTTTTTATGGGTTATTAATGTATTTCTCTTGTTTTAGTTGTTGTGAGCTGGCCAGAGTCATTGAGAACATGGCAGCATACAAATTTGATAAATCAATGGTATTAAAAGCCACTGAGAGATCCAGGAGGGCAAGGATGGATGCGCCACCCCCATCCTGGTTCTCCAAAGGTTACCCACAAGTGTTACCAATAACTCTCAGCGTTATAACCTGGCCTGAGCCCCGACTGAAAAGAACCCAGATAATCTGCTGCTTCCAGGTCCCATTAAAGCTGAGCATTCACCATCTTAGAAAAATGAGTATAAAAGAAAAGCTTGATTTTAAGTAATGGTCTTATATAAGCAAAAATTAGTTTTATATATACGCTTGCATGTACTGTGTCAGGACACAAAGTGTAGTGGGCTTTCAAAAGCTATGAGATTCTTAGCATTGCAAATGTTCGTTTGGGAATTATAGCTTAGCTATTTTTAGTTAACATGCAGCAGGCAGCATATAGCATACATGCAGATGATGCTATATTGTTAGCTAAGAATCCGAATGATTTGAATGTAGTAGGAATGTAGTACCGAAGTAGTATGTGTGGTAAAACAAGGGCTATAAAGAAGGGAAGAGCATTGAATGCATATTAAATACAAGAGTAAATTACTGGTACAAGGTAGTTTGGTCATATAGAGAGCATGAAAGAGGTTTGAATTGCAAAACAAAGGTATGAAAGAAGGATGAAAGGACTGAGAGGAAAGGGAAGACTGAGAATTCATGGTTGAATGGAGCACATGAGATCTTGAAGAGAGGTGAGGAGTTTAAAGAACCAAAGGCAATGAAAGAAGCAATGTATGGATATGGCAGAAGCAAAGATAGTTTGCAAGGAGAGAAAGGTACAGGGAGGTATAATGAATGTGTTGGTATAAACCAGCGCCTCTCAACCTCAGGAACTTCAAGATGTGTGGACTGCGTTCAAGAAGCAGTGTTGTTTCATTTTCTTGTGCTTAATTTCTTTTGCTCACTAATTATTCTTTCTCTGCACGTTGAATAATGTTGCTTACCCCAAATTGTGCTTGTTTGCTTATATTTTCCATAAGTTATCTTTAGAGTACTACTTTTTGGAGAAAAAAGGATACCTATATCTTAAATAAGATTTCTCATCAAATACTACTTATCTATGGACAATGCCTGGTGCTGATATACTGTACAATTATATTCAATCATGGTTGAAAATGCTGATTTAGTGCTAACTATGGTCAGTATTTAACCCTGATGGAAATTCACTGTAAAACTGAAACGAGAGAACTCTTCTCCTCCCAATCCTATTAGTACAGTAACCTACTATATAAAATACATTGTTTGAGGTACTTGCTGAGGAGGTACCTGCTAGACAAGAAGCCTTCCAGGAGCCAAGTCAAAAACCATGTGACTACATGGCTTAGCAATGGCAGTCCCGGTTGCCGTCATTAAACAAGGATGCATGGGTTGATAAGTGAGGAGCTCACATGACTGCATCTTTGTGCTGGCTTCCTCATTGACTTTGGTTGTGGAAGCTGGCAGGGAAAGTTGCAAATTGCTATCACGTGACCATGGGATGCTGCAGCAGTCATAAGTATGAGGTCTGGTCATAACTACTACTTGTTATAAGTTCAAACAGTCACTGAAAGAGTGGTCATTAAACAAGGACCACCTGTAATCAGTAATTTAAGTACGCCTTATAAATCCCTTAAATAAAAAGATAAAAGCATATTAAAGTGGTTTATAGCAGTGTTTCCTAGCTACAGCAACTTTTAGATGTGTGGATTTTGATAAAAATTCTGCGGGTTGACCCACATATCTGAAAATTACCACAGTTGGAAGACACTGATCTAGAAAAATGGATACAAGTGATCAGTTAAGTATGCTTCTTTCACCTGTACTCTTTTTATCAATCATCCAGGGAGTAATTAATATACATAACCCACATTCTATAATCATATTCTGATTTACTTAATCCTTTGCAGTAGAGGTAGTCCTTATTTAGCAACCACAATTGGGACTGGCAACTCAGTTGTTAAGTGAACCGGTCGCTAAGTGAAACTGCAACTGTGCTCATGATCTTACTTCAGCTTTCCTTTGCTTTACAGACCTGCAAAGGTTGTAAATGCAAGGATT